TTAATTTTCCCAGAGCTACTGGAAGGATATAATATTTATAGATTCTCTCTGCAATAACACTGATTCTGAAATCCAAAAGTGTGCGTGTATGTGTGCGTGCATGCGTGCGTGCGCATGCCTGAGCACGCATGCGTGCAAACGCAGACGTGAATAAGAATCCCCTAAAAGTCCCGTGAACTATGCAAGTGTTTGACACAAAAATCACATCATCAACACTGTACTAGCAGAGAGGAAGAAAGGTGTGGACACTTTAATATGACAGTTAATTTAAAAATCACTTTAGGGTTTTGTGCCCATGTTGGGACAGGAATGTATCTGATGAACTGGGAAGTAACACCATTGTACAATTAGTGTTGCTACTGGTAGTCCCCAGAAGGAACCCTGTGCTTCCATATCCTAGCACCTGTCCCAGTCCTGGCCTGAGGTCAAAGCAGCACCAGTGGGGTGGGGTGGGTTGTAATGCTTGGGGCTGGGAGGAGGGACTGGGAGGAGGCACAGGGAGAGGCGGAGCTCCAAACCAACAGAGCGCAGGTGTGAGCAGATGGGTGGGGGCTCCCCATAAACGTACGTGTGACCAAAACACGTGATCAGGTGCAGTGTTGCAGGGGCTGACATGTCAGATCCCCAAAGCAAATGTGCCACATTTAGGGCCTAAATAATATTTCTAGAACTGAGAGGTGTGTGCTGGGTTCTTGCAAGCTTCTTTCTATGACAGTCATTGCTAATCTTCTTATGCCAAATTATTTCCTAGGACGCTCAGCCTAGAGATGTGGTCTTAGCAGGAGTAGGATCACCTCCATTAGCCAGAAAGCCGAAGTAGGACATGTCATTCAGTATTGATCAGCCATCTCCTACTGTCTGGCCCTTTAAACCGGAAATACTTCTGAAACACTGTTACTGCCTGACAACAAGACTGAGCTAATGGAGCTGGTTCCTGTTTGGGGTTCTGGGTCTATGTAGGGTCTGAGGCTCAGGTGTGCAGATTGACAATTGTTATGATGCCTCTGTGAAAGGTATGGCAGAGTCCACTGAAGACAATAACTTAAAAGTTGATGAAGCGCGGTCTTAGGAACTTGAACCGATGGTTCAAGAATCCTCAGAGGACCGGAGAACAGTGATTAGGTGACTGGTTGAGTGGATTTTTTGTTCTCAGGAAAATGAGAATGCTGATGTCATGTGTTGAGGGACCATTAAAGGAGCCTGTGGATTAATATCAGGATTCTGAGGATTTAGACTCAACGGGGACATCAAGGCCATCTGTTCATAATATTGTCACATAAGTGATCCAAGCCCCATCATGAGACTTTATCTCCCCAACATTGAGAACCATACCTGATATATAGCAGGTGCTCAATAAAGTTTTGTGAATGGATAGAGGACTGCGTGATCTATTTGTTACTGTTCCCTCTGGTCGCTCACAACTGATTTGCCCATCATGCATCTACCCCTCTCTCCCTTCAGTATTTATGAGGTGCTACACCATGGGCTACATGGGAGTCCTTGATAAATTCAACAGAGTCACTTAGGTGATTTCACTTTTGTTCAAACTGCCTTTGGTGGACTTTTACAAATGAACATAAACCATACCCTCACAATATTTTCATTCCTTAGACTCTTTGTCTTTAGCAAATCCTGGTTACTACTTTTGTTGAAGACTCAGAATGTTGATCTTCCTGATCAGGTATGGTGTAGGCATTCATTACTACCAGGGGAGGACACTAGGCTAGCTTCACTGGTGATTCCATCTGCCATGGTTATGGCCTGCTTGGTTCCTGGGTGACACATCAAACAAAGCTTCTTCCATGCTTCCCATGCCTTCTCTTCATGCCACATTACATTCTCCCTTTTCTGAGCAAGGGGATTTTCCAAGAAGACAAGTGTGAAGGTTGATGACCACTTCCAGGCTGCAGTCTCTTGGGTGCAAGAAAACTTCCAACATGGTGCTTTTGAGGCAAATTCTGGACACATTGTAGAACTTCTGGAGAAGCGAGCCAGTCTCTATACACCTCCATTTCCTCATCTTGTGTCACTTCAAGGCAAGAATCTGTCCACTCTGGCATTGCTTCACAGGAAAGAATAGAAATAAAAGTATACAAAGCTTTTCAGGAATTTCTCATGTTTACAGACCAGCATGGCACATGGCAACTCACCCTAGAATGGAGAGCTGGATACACACTGTGAAAGGTCAAGGTCTTCACCATTATTAAATGTGACTTGCTTTTGCATTTTCTCTTCTTAGGTATACATACAAAGAGTTCCAAACTATTTGCTTTTACTGTGTTTTTTTCTCGAGGTGCAAAGGCCTAAGCTTTTGCATTACATATATGTGACTCTTTAAACTTTACTAGATTGTGACAAGGAAGTCATGGTGGCACGATTAAAATGCTCAGTACTTATCCTCTGTGGGGCACAACACAGGACCCCTTACATTTACAACAATTACACCACAGTGTCAGAGTCAGAGAACTGGAAGCCCCACTAAGATTCAGCTTTCTCCTCACAGTATCTGTGTGGGACCACTGCTGGGCAGAAATCCCAATCCTCATTCTACGGGTGAGAAAGAGGCCACCTATCCAAGGTGACACAGTGAAAAGCAATTGCAAAAACGGCTAGGTAAGACCTTTCTGTGGCTTGCCAAAAAAAACCCAAAACAAGGGGAGCTCTGGTGGCCTAGTGGCAAGAAACTGCACTGCAATCCCAGAGGAACACGGTTCGAATCCACCAGACGCTCTGCCGGAGAAGGAGGCGCAATATCCTCCTCTACCAGTCAGATCTGATTTGACGGTACACGTACACAAAATTAAAAAAAAAAAAAAGGTAAAAACCCAAAACAAAAACCAACAACAACAACAAAATCACGCCGAAGAACACCCAGGCTGTCTCCTATTCAAATACAGTATGGAAAGAGTTTTAGAAGACAACTTTCTATCAAGATTTCACATGTCCTTTAGCAAATCTGGAGCCATAATTTAAGAATCAGAAACATAGTAACCTTTTTAGTCAAATGCCTTTGGCTTGCAGACAATGTCAGTCAATACAGCTTACTGACAACCTGGTTACCCACAAGAAGAAAGCTTAAGGACAAAACCCCAGCCTTTCAAGAGATAAACCTTGGCACAGCTCCTTTCCTGCTTTGACAGCTGAAGTGTCACACCTACGCATGCCTCTTTTCTATACAATATTCTTCCTGTACCTACTGGCATGTCAAGTGTGAGGGAATGTGTGTGTGTGTGGGGGGTGGAGGGGAATAACCAGTCACTTTAGGGATAATCTTGCCCAGTAGATATCCATGAGATACACCTAATGTGGTATTTCTCTACCCTGATTCCTTTTTCCATCTTTTAATCGCTTTATCCTATTTTAATGTAAAATGTGATGGTTCCCACTCTCCCTGATGAAGGCAGTCAGTGGGGGACTATGGCTGGGGGTTGTTTGGCTTCATGGAAGAGAAACACTCTAAGGATTGACACTGTTTGATGAGAAGTGAACATGACCTTTTGGATCTGGGAGTGACCTGGTCTTGCAAGTATTTTTGCCCAGAGGCTAGTGACCATCTGTCCTGATGTGCAGTGTCTCTTTTAATGCCAGGAATCCACATTCCCAGAAACAAACTAACTAGGCTAACAGTAGCTCTCTTTTCTCCCAACTCCAGGTCAAGAAAGGCACATGGAAGAACAAGAAGTAATACGGAAGTGGCTTTGGATCTGGGAGACCTTGAGGTAACAAGGAAAGGAGTACAGATGGCCCCATCTGGTGGATGGGAAAGGTGAGGCACGGAGGACTGATGAAAATACTTCAAGTGATGGGTGAGAATGAGTCATGGATGAGAGGGAATTTAAGGATAGACTCTCATTTTCCTTGAAGGGGCAGGGAAAGGAGGAACAACAGCTACACAGACAATACAAGCACAACTCTCAACAGCACAGAGACAATTCCAGCTCTTCAGCTACCACAGGGATGCAGCCAAGGACACCCTAATTGCCCTCAGAGTTGCTGTGAGGATTTCTTCACAGAGGGAATCCTATACCTCAACATCTCTGGGGCCCACCCCTTGGGGACTGCATCAGGGGCTGGAGATTTAGGCAGGAATTGCCCAGGCAGGCACATAAGGTAGCTCTGCTTAAGGCATGGCTGCTGTCTGCCTAGCAGTAATGCAGCTCCTTGGACCCAACAATGGGAAGTGGGCACCAGATACCTGCCCCCTTGAAACCACCCTGCAAGGAAGCTTAATAGGGTGGCGCATTGCTGCCTAAGAAATCCTACCTCCCCCAGGGGCTAGGGGCTTCCATTAAAGCTAAACAGCATCATCAAACCAAGGGCTTTTCTGTGCCTCATGGGAGGACAAGGAGAAGGGGAGGAGGTGGAGAGACACAGATTGATTATTATTTGCAGATGATTGTCTAACTAGAAGACCTAGGGAAGTCAACTGAAAAACTATAGGAACTATTTGAAGGATCTGCTCAGAAAAATTTAAAGTCAAGCACACCAAAATAAATCCTTTTGGGGGCTCACTTAGGTATGACCTTGCAAAGATCTGTGCTTTTCTGGGTGGTTTCTGATGTTTGTGCAATTCGCTGTTTTCAAAGGTAGCGAACAAAGGTTCCTTCCTAATCTACACAACGCAGACTCAGACCTCAGTATCTGACAATAGGGTCCCGCTTGCCTAGGGTCCCTCTCCCTTGGACCTGGACCCTTTCTCCTCAGCCATTTGCTCTAATGCAAAAGACATAACATAGGGCCTAAGCCAAGAGCTGGGGCTGGAGGCATAACGGAGTTAAGTGGTCAAAGATTGTGCTATGTCATCGCCAAACCAAGTTTTTTAAAATAAAAAGGGGTGGACCCGGAGGAGGGGAGGTCCCACGTGTCCGTCCTATCATTGCCTCATTAATCATGGAAAGGCCATGTGTTGCGACCCCACTGGGTAGTCTCAGTTTTGGTTTGGTTTGCGGCCCAGGAAGGCCTTGATGGACTGTGTCAATCTGCCTGGACCAGAGTGGCCATCATTTGCGGTCTAGGCTGGCATGCAGCTGGGCCTCCCGCACCATCCGGTCGAAGGAGCGCGTGTTGGTCTCCTCTCGCACCTTCTCCCGAACGTGGAAGGAGGCGCGCGCAGTGGAGCGGGCGCTCTCCAGCGCGCTGCGCCTCTCCCGCGAGAGCTGCTCGCTCCTCTCCAGCTTGCGCCCTATGGCCTGGAGTAGCTCCCGCCTGCGGCAGTCTTCGTCCCTCTCCACCTTCAGCTTGTTGGCGCGCTGGGCCCGCTCCTTCTCCAGACGGTTCTGGCCCACGCGCCGCGCCTTCTGCAGCACTGCTTCCTCGGCCGCCTGCGTTGCATGCTGCAGCCGCCGCTCCCCGGCCCGTGCCAGCGCCTCCAGGTGGGCTTGGTGCTCCCTCTCTTTACGCTCAGCCGCCTCCTTGGCCCTCCGGCTCTGCAGCTCCTCTCGCCGGGCCCTCTCCCTTAGCTCGCGGGTGCGCTGCTCCACTAGCTGCTCGTAGTTCTCCTGTGCACGGCCCAAGCTGGCTGCCAGTGAGCTCCGCAAGCCCTCGCGTTCCTCGTTCTCCTGCCGGGCCCGGCCCTTCAGCAGCGCCTCGTGGCGTGCCCGCTCAGCCCGGCTCAGCTCCCGCTTCTCCCGCTGCAGCTGGCCCTCTTGTCGCTGCTTGGCGCGGGCCGCCCTCTGGGCGCGCTCCCTGCGGGCCTGTTCTGCCCTCTCACGGCCTTCTTGGAGGCCCTCTTCCCGCTGCTTCAGGTTTTGTTCTTGCTGCAGCTTGCGCTGCCGGTCCTCCCGGGCTGCACGGTCGGCTCGCTCCCGCCGCAGCTGGCCCTGGTGCTCGGCCAGCTCCCGCCGCCGCTCCTCGCTACGCTCGCACTGCCGTTGCTTTCGCCGCGCAGCCTCCCGCTCCTCGCGGCCCCGGCGGCCACGCCGCTCCTCCACCTGCGCGGCCCAGGCGCGGCGCCCTAGCTCCAAAGCGCGCTGTTTCTCTCGCTCCTCGTTCTCACGTCGCTTCTCGGCGCGCACGCGCTGCTGCTCCCACTGGCCGTGGGCAGCGGCGCGCTGCTCCAGCAACAGGCGCTCTTCCTGGTAGCGCGCCAGCATGAGCGCTGCGATCTTCCGATCGCGCTCGGGCACCCCGCGCAGGCCCCGCTCCGCGCGCACCTGCCGCACGATGCGCTCCACGTGCTGAGCAGTCTGCGGCGAGTGGCTCAAATCGCCCAAGCTGAAGCTGCGCCCAGTGATGGGGACCAAGGGCAGGGCGGAGGGCCGTCCCAGAGGGTTGGGGGCAGATGATGCTGACCCGGCCGGGTAGCTATGCCTTGCCGAGGTCCGCGCCTGCCAGCGTAGCTCTCGCAGGCTCTCTCCACTGTAAGACGACGACGATGCACCAGATGTACCGGATTCAGAGCTAAGGGCGCCTTCTCGTCTGCGTGACAGGGAGTCTAGCGAATGGCTCTTCCTACCTGTCCGTGAGCCCGCAGGCGGAGGTTGGGTTCGGGCTGGGGAGAGACTAGGGGAGGCTTTCCGGGCCGCGCGCGGAGCGGGCGACGCCGGGAGGCTGGCGCTGCTGCAGCTACTGCTGCTACCGGCGCTCGGGGCGGTGGCAGCGGCGGCGGCAGCAGCACCCAAAGGCGTGAAGAGTCGCCGTTTCTCTTCGCGAACGATGCGCTCGCGTTCTGCCCTGCACTGTTGTAGTTTGGCGCGACGTTCTGCCTCATATGCCTCGTACAGGCCCGTGGCCACTCGCATGGAGCGGCCCGGAGCCTCACGCACCAGGTCAGCCAGGGCCCGCGGGAGCAGCTCCACCGGCTTGACGGCGCATCGTGCACAGGCCTCAAGGGAGCGAGGACTAGTCAGCACATAGCGGCTGCCCTCAGCCTCCGGACAGTCGAAATTGAAGAGGTCGAGGTGCAGTAATGGGGACTGCTCGCGCCGCCCTCCTTCTGCCACGCATGGGACTTCTGCCTTGCGGGGTGCATCAGCTGAGGTCGAGGCCGAAGCCGATGCTGAGGCGGCTGCAGGCTGCTGGGAGCCCTGGGCATCAGGGGGCACCGATGCTGCGGCTCCATCCTCTCCTGAACTGCTGGGCTCAGCTCCTCCTTTCTCATCAGGAATGGGGTCCACCATGGCTGATCCCTTTTGTAGAGTCTGCGGATGACAGGGGAAGGACATCGAGGAATATATTTGAGAGCAGTTCCCCCTTTCTCATTGCTTTCTCCACCCCCAACCTAATCCGCTTTCGGATTAGGCTTAGGGGCCTGGTGGAGCCTAAATCATAATACCGATGCCCTGAAAATGCCGGCTAGAAGTCGTGGGGGCGGGGGAGTGAATCTTTCTCTCGGTCCTGGAATGCAAGGTTCCCTTGGGCTCCTGGCCCACCAGATAGATGCATTTCCTTCCGGCTGCAAGTTAAAATGGAAAGATGTAGGTGCGGGAAGCAGCCGTTTTGGGAGCGCTGGAGGGCTGCCTTGGTGGATTAGTGTTTGTAGTTTAGGCGGGCAGCTTTGGGATGCAGCTTTGCAGAAACAAAAAGGGAAGAGGGCGCTGCATCTCCAAAGTGCATTGCTGCAAGGGCTCTTATTTGATTGTAGAAGTAGTTTATGGGCGGCTTCCCACTGCCAAAGGAGATCCGAGAGCGCCGGGTGTATGGGTTTGTGGACACGGCATGATGGAACGGCAGAGAAATGCACCTCGATCCCCAAAGGCCCCTGGGGTGATCGATTAGTGCTCCTGCTACAAGCCTCCCCACCCCCGCCCCCAGGGGTTTGCGGGCATGGAAAAGGTGCCTGATTATTCCATTCGGTCTAGTGTAAGAGTGGATGTGCTACCAGCATCTTCTACCCGGGTCTGGGCTAGAGTTCCCCCCCCCCAGACGCCCGGTGCGTCCACCGCATCCCTGGGGTGTTCTCTGGGGCGTGCATTGAGCACCGGTGCCCGCGGCTCCCGGAGGCTCCAACCAGTGCACTCACCGCACGTCCTGGGCTCCCGCCAGCGCCGAGGGCTTTTGTTCGCAGCTCGCCACTCTCCCCTGCGCCTCCTCAGTCCCCGCGCTGGCGAGGTCGGGTTACTGCCGGTAGCAGCCGCGATCGGATCCCCAGCTGTCGCCGCAGCCTCGGCCAGAGCCTCTCCATGGGGCCTGCAAGAGAGGCGCACACACTCCAGATGCTGCCTACAAGCGGGAGGGGAAGTGCGACAAGGCTTCCCTAAAATAACGCGGCTCTGCTTTCTTGCCTCACTCGGATTCTTAAAAAAAGGCAGCTCCGGTCCATCACTGCTGCATCCATCTCCGCCTCTCCAAGCGTGAAGACACTGCCGCGGTTTCGCCGCCCTCAGCGCCTCCTGGTGGACACGGGGGGCTTAGTTTCTTTGCTTGGAAGGCAAAGAAGAGAAAAATGGAATCTATCATCAAGAAAGCTTAAGGTGAAAAATATAAGAATTACTCAGATTGTTTCTCCCGGAGACCCTGTGAGACAACCGAACTTGATAATCGACTAGAAATATGGCGCCTGATCCAAACTGGTATTTTTTTTAAAAGAAAAACTAAACATTTCAGATAGGTTTGATGTAAGCAGATGTGTGGGTCGTGTTTACTGCAGTGGTTAATGACTTCTTGGTTCTAGACAGTGAAGACAGCAAAGCTTAGTGCTAACTGAATGGCTGTGATTTTAAGGTGCCTTCTCCCCCACCTCTCCCGTTTTGTGTGGTAGGGGCCACAGGAGACAGATTGGAGGCGCATCTGAGCCAGGGGAGGGAGCTCGAGGTGGCAGGCAGGACTAACATTGGAGAGTATTTTGAACTATGCTGCTAAATAACTGACACTTGAGGAGGCTCTGAGAAGCGAGGGAAGGATTGGTTCTGGAAAGTGACATAACTGGGTTTATGTTTTGGGAAGCAAGCAGGGCTTCCAACAGGGTCATTCTGGCTCCACCTTCTGTCAGAGTTTGCATTTCCACCCCAGATACACAGAATCACCAGATACGCCGGGCCGGGCGTCTGGGGGTGGGGGCTCCATGTTAACAAGATGCATCAGGACTCACCCAGGGGTTCTTGTTGAACTATAGACCCAATTCATCATATCTAGGGGTGGAAAATTCAGCATATCAGCAGGTGGTTGAGCCTGCAGTGAACTGGTTAGAGTCCTAATAGGAACTGTATTGTTATGTACCCGTGAGTAGGGAACCGGCTTAGATAGCTGACCCGCAGGAGGCTTGGTTTTCAGAGGCCATAAACAGCACAAGAGGATATAGCCCATCTTTCTCCCGCAGAGCTGGATTTTACCCAGAAGCCAACCCAACTCCTTACCACTGAGCAACTACAGCTCCCTTGTTAGAAACAGTAGCTCCAGAAATAAGTCTCTGGGGGCTTTGAAAGGGTCGAGATAGGCAAGAGGACCAACTTGTTAGCCCCAGCAGGCCCCCAACCAGGAAAGATTACGTAGACCTGTTGGGAGAAGAAGGCCGATGAAGGGATAAAACTAATGTCTTGGAGTATAATATACCAACTCATGGGCTGTCTGTCCGTGTGCTTCAGCGTAGAATTGTGCTCCATAGGATTTTTCCGTGGCCTGCTTTTGGGAATGAGATTGCCAGACCTTTCTTCTGAAGTACTTCTGGGTACACTTGAATTTTTAACATTTTAGTTAGCAGCTGTGTTAATTTTTTGATGCAAAAGAAGGTAAAAGCGCCGAAATAGGAAGTAAAAGAGGTCACATTTGGAGATATCCTTGGCAGTGGCGGATGCTCAGAGATGGCTGCCAGAAACAATGATGTGGTTGAGTGTGTCAAGGAGGGAAGGTTTGTTGGGGTGGTGGGCCAGGAAAGAATGGTTTCTTTTTTGATCGCTTGAGTTTGAGACAGCTCCTTAGCAGGTAGCTAGAATGAAATGAAAGTGTAGGAGGTTATTTCCGCTTAAGACATTCTTAAACCAACAGTGTGAGGGAGGAGAGGAAGAGCAAGAAGAGAAATGGGCTGGGCATTTATAGGGCCAAGAGAAAAAGAGTCCATGATGGGATCGAGAAAGACAGAGAAAAGCGTGGTCCATGGACGCTAACAAGGCCTTTCACTCCAAAGAAGCACTTGAGAAGGAGGGCATGCCCCTTGCATCAAGGTAGCAGAAGGCCAGAAAGATTTTTTATTTACAAATGTATTTGAAAAAGAGTCAGAGCAAAGCCTTCACATGACCTGTAGAAAAGCTATGAAGAATTCAGTAGTAGAGAAAAGTTCCCAGGGCTGGAATAAGGCCATCTATCTACCTCTCATCTTGCACCTTTAAGTACTCCAGACATTTCAAGAGATAGATTTCACCAAAGTTAAATGCTGATCTCCCTCAGATTAGGATTTCTAGCCTTCAAAAGATCAAGGGTGATAATTCCATTTTATTATGATACCCAGAAAAGAGAGCAACCTAGTTGAGGGACACTCACCTGCCCAGTATGAGGAGTGTTGTTGTTAGGTGCCATTGAACTCAACTCATATGAACAACATATCTGAACCCTGTCCTATCATGTGCCGCCCTCACAATCTCCGACATACTTGAGCCCATTGCTGCAATCACCGTGTCAATCCACTCGGTTGAGGGTCTTCCTTTCTCTTGCTGTCCTTCCACCTTTCCAAGTATGATGTCTCTTTCCAAGGAATAGATTTTCCTAGCAACATGCCCAAAGTATGTGAGATCAAGCTTTATCATCCTGCCTCCGAGGAGCACTCTGGCTGTTCCTTCTCCAAGACACAGATGTTTATTCTTTTGGCAGTCCATAGGATACTCAGTACTCTTCTGCAACACTACAGTTCAAAGGCATCAATGCTTCCATCATCCTTATTCATTGTCCAGCTTTCAGCAGCATAACAAGTGATTGAAAAAAAATCAGGTGCGCCCTAGACCTTAAACTGACATCCTTGCCCTTCAATAATTTAGAGAGGTTCATGACTGGCGATTTTTCCAGTGCAGTACGTCTCCTGATCTCCTGAGTGCTGGTACCAACTGTACTGATTGTGGATCCAAGTAAGATAAAGTTTTGAACAGTTTCAGTCTTGTCTCCATCTATCATGATGCTACCTATCAGTCCAGTGGTGAGAATTTTGTTTTCTTAACATTGAGATGCAATCCATATTGAAGGGTACAGTCTTTGAAATTCTGCAGCCAGTGCTTCAAGTCCTCTTCATGTTAATCAAGCAAGATTGTGTCATCTGCATAACACAGGTTGTTGATGAATCTTCCTCCAATCCCGATACCAGTTTTCCTCATCAAGTCCAGCCTCCCAAATGTTTTACATGTAGGTTGAAAAGGATACAACCCTGATACCCACCTTTGTTAATTTTAAACCATGCAGTGTTCTCTTGCTCTGTTTGCAACAGCAGCTGCTTAGTCTAGGTTTAGGTTTCTCAGCAGCGCAATCACATTCTGGGATTCCCATTGTTTTCAGTGTGAGCTGTAATTTGTTGTGATCCTCACAGTCAAATAAAGTCAATAAAATAGACATTCTTTTGGTATTCTTTGCTTTCATCCAGACCCATCTGATATCAGCAATGATATCTCTAGCAGTTTTCTGTCTATGTAGTGTTCTGGCCATTTTTAAATGCTCTTCAGCAGTATTTTGCTTGCATTATGATATTAATGATGATCGTGATATTAATTCTATTGTTTGATAACTTCCACATTTTGTTGGAACATCTTTCCTGGGAATGGAAACAAATATGGATCTCTTCCAATCAACTGGCCAGAAAGCTGTCCTCCAAATTTCCTGGCATAGACCGGTGAGCATGTCCACGGCTGCATCAGTTATTTGAAATATGTCAGGTGGTATCCCATTGATTCCTGGTGCCTTATTTTTTTTGCCAGTGCCTTCAATACAGCTCAAACTTTTCCCTTCATTACCATTGGCTCTTCATCATGTAATACTTTCAGAAATTTTTTGGTGGCAGCGATTTCTCTTTGGCACAGTAATTCTGTATATTCCCTCCATCATCTTTTGATACTTCCTGACTCATTCAAGATTTCCCCCATAACATCTCTAAGCATTGCAACTCAAGGTTTGGATTTGCTTTTCAGTTATTTCAGCTTGAGAAATGCCAAGTGAGCTCTTCCCTTTTTATGCTCCAATTCTAGGTCTCTGTGTATTCCGTTGTAAT